CTTTTTCATCGCTCCCAGCTGTGAGAGAAGTAGACTTAGTATAGAGCATGTGTGTGTAACTTGCTTCAGGAAAGCTAGTCAAATAAATGAGTTTTGTATTTCGTTCTGTATGGGGTGAGGGCCACAGTCATTACTGTCTCTTGCTGGTGGGAATGCCACAGTGTATGTCTTGCTCCTGTTAAAGTTCTGTCTTCCTCCCTGCTTTGCCTACTAGTCAACAGATTTATTGTTGTGGTATCTGTAATGGGAAGTTGTGGTTACAAAAGGAGAGTCGTTCTCATGGCAGCTAAAAACCATCCCGAAGGGAACTTTGAATATCTGGACAGAGACTTTGAACTAGACTCTAGTTAGTCAGGAGCTAGTTAAGCAGGTAAAGCCCCGAGGTGGCATATTCACAACAGCCTGTGTTGCTAAATAGACAAGTTGCCACCAGAGAGAGCTTTCTGAAAGGGTGGGGTTGAGGGAGGTCTTCATTGCTAGCTCTCATAAATTGAAATAATCACACCACACAGAGAGAGAATCACAGCTGTTGGAGGAGGTTTGCTTTTGCCTTGAGGAGGGCAGTGTCTACCAGGGGTGAATGAGAGTTTTACGGAGCCCAGGGCAGCACAATTTCGTGGGGCCCCCCTTTGGACAAAAAATAGAAAAAAGGCGTCTCCCCTGTGCCCACTCCTCCAGTAGCCCCACTCTGATCATGTGAGCTACCTCTCCTTGTCCCCTCTCCTAACACCTCCCTCTACACACCTGCCCTGCCTCTCTCCTCTGGTGCTGGTCCCTCCCCTGCAGGTGTCTGCCCTTCTGCTTCACCCCCAGAATCCCCTGGCACCTGCCCCTTCCCCCTGCACCCTCCTGGTGCCTCCCCCTTCCCTCACACCCTCTGCGCCCATTGCCCTCTTTTTACCTGATGCCTACCCCCTCACCACCCTCTGCCCCCATTCCCATCATGCCCCTGTGCCCTCACACATGCCTTGCTCCATCCCCACCTTCCTCATGCCCATCCCACCTTTCAAGCTTTCTCCCAGAACCTCCCCCTCCCCCCTTTAGCCCCCAAGCCCCTTACCCTCTCCTCCCCCAGCATCATCCTGTTCCCCCTCCCATTGACACCTCCCCTCCTGCCCTTTTCCTCGTTGTCTCCACTTGGCCTCCTGGCACCCCCAGACCCGCCCCCTCCCCCCTTTAGCCCCCAATGCCCTTACCCTCTCCCCCCCCAGCATCATCCTGTTCCCCCTCCCATTGACACCTCCCCTCCTGCCCTTTTCCTCGTTGTCTCCACTTGGCCTCCTGGCATTTGTCTCTCCTCCATCCTGTCCCTTGGTGCCTTCTCCTTTCTTCTCCTGACCTGTCCCCCTCCCCTCAGCACAAGCCCCTTCCTCTGCCATCCACCTTTTGCCTTCCAGTTTGCAGGATAGCCGAGACCCTGGCCCAGGCTCCAGACCATGTGCGGAACCGAGCTGTGCAATCTGGGCCACGTGGTTTTAAAGTCTCAGGCTGTGACGTCACGCCACGCCCAGGCATCTCCCCTCTCAGCTGTTGTGCGGCGTTTCAGCATGCTGCACATGCGCTCCCTCGGCCCCACATGGCCTGTACTGGCTGGTGCTGGGGAATTTAAACTGCGGGGCTGCGGTGCCCCATCACAATCCCCCTCCTCCTCCAGCAGCTGCCAGCTGGCCCTTCGGCGGACAGACCACTGGGAAATTCCCAGTATCCCGCTGGGCCAGCCCGCCCCTGGCGCTGGCGCAGGGCCTATTGAAGCATGGGACCCGGGGCAGCTGCCCCGCTCGCCCTGCCCTATATCTGCTGCTGGTGTCTACATCAGTGTTTCTTAAACTGTGTGCAACGAGGCTGTTGGAGGAGTTCTGCCTAGGACAACAGAGTTCAAAATGGCTCCTCCCTTAAAGAGGCAGGCGACCTTTTTTTTTTTCATGTGTGCTCAATAACTCCCCCCACCCCTGGCCATTTTTTGTTTTTTGCTCAATAACTCTCCCCCGCCCACCCTCCCATCCCCCCTTTTTTTTTGCTCAACAAAAAAAAAATCCTTGGTGTTCCTCATAAAAAAAAATTATTGTTTGGTGTTCCTCGGTCTTAAAAAAGTTTAAGAAACACTGGTCTACATACACCCCCACAGATACATTACATAATCCCTTTTACTACGTTCACTACCGGTTTAGCCATAGAATCATAGAGCTGGAAGAGACCTCAGGAAGTCATCAAGTCTAGCCCCCTGCCCAAAGCAGGACCAATCCCAACTAAATCATGCCAGCCAAGGCTTTGTGAAGCTGAGACTTAAAAATCTCTAGGGATGGAGATTCCACCACCTCCCAAGGTAACACATTCCAGTACTTCACCACCCTCCTTAGGAAATAGTTTTTCCTAATATCCAACCTAGACCTCCCCCGCTGTAACTTGAATGTTGGATTGACTTTTTGTTCTGGAAAGTCCTTTTGATCATAAAACTGAAATCTTATACCCCAAGCAATGACAAATTAGTCAATGCGGAGCTGATCATGAGGCATTGTGAATTGATAGGAATCACATAGTACATGCTGCCATCAATCCATGGCTGGGGACAAACACTAACATCTTAAAAGAAATTGAAAATATATGTCACAGGGATCCGAGTTTGTGATCTGTTTCAGAAACTCAGGCTTCTTCAACCTGAAATTAATAACATCTCTGTTTAAGCCTGAAAACAAGACAACAACACATCCACCCAAGTCTAATTACATCCAGTAGAGAGCTGTTTTACTTGCCAGCCAATCAAAATATAGGATGCATATACTAAGATACTATCTGAATTCCCGATCTCTATTTTTTATTAAACAAATACCATAGTACTCAGACTATATGAACTATGTGACCGACATTTGATATGAAAGCAGTTCCACTAAAATCATTTAAAGGATCCATTTGCTAAATCTCTCATATGGCAAAATATTCAACATCCCAAAGCTGCCGAGGGAACAATGAATGATAATTATTAGATGATATGAGTTGTGCTGAACTGAGAGCTTAATTATGTTCCCAAATCCTTCCCCATTGAGACATTATCAATAAATTCTGGCTTTATGTTTGGCAGTCTTCTGCACAGACAGTTAAATTTAAATACAAATATTTTCTCTTCTTAAAAGATATTTTATATTTAAATCTTTACATTAAAAATTCCCTAGCCTGTCTTTGAAGTTATCATAAACTGTGAGTGTCAAGATAAAATGCAACTTCTCTGACCTTTTAAAATGTTTTTGGTTGTTTGTTTTATCCTTCAGCACAGATACTAGGAGAAAAAAAATGCTCTTAAGATGCTATAAACACTCTGGAGTGTTCATGCTTTCAAGAGCTAAAATGACCTGTAGTCAGATACCATCTAAATGGACAGGAAATTGAATGAAGGATTTTTTTAAACCCTTGTATTAAGTTTTATGAGAACATAATCGGTTCATCCCCAGCATGGTTACTAAGAAGGAAGTACTGTACTTGTAGATTTGAACCATCAGTGTGTTTTTCATCAGTAGTACTGTTTTCTTTTATTTGTGGTCATTGTCATTTACCAAACTAAATCTGATCTTTGAACAACCTGCTATATAAATACGCAACCCTAAGCTTAAACTAGAGTGGCTCAATCAGCATTGGCTGGATATATGGATAATAGCATTATTATTACTTTTGTGGTTTTCATGTTGTTCATTGATCTGTTTAGCTAGAATATTAATTACAGCCTTCCTTCTCGTGTAGTATTGTATCAAACAATGTATAGGCCCTAAAGTAGGCAACAGTTTGAAAGCTCATTCCTCCAAGCGCCAATTCATACTGACTTACCATATGTTGTCTTTTACTTCCTCCTCGTTTATTATCTCAGACAGCTTGCATTGGACTAACTTATTTAATTGGTTTGGCAAGTGGGTCTAGGATCCTATTTTTAATATGAGCATTCATAAAAAAATGTTGGATTGACTTTTTGTTCTGGAAAGTCCTTTTGCTCATAAAACTGAAATCTTGTACCCCAGGCAGTGATAAATTAGAATGTCTCTAAGAATATGTCATTATCATTTAGTTATCTCACTTAGGGTTGCAGGCTATAAGTGTTTTTTCCTTGCCTTTTAATGACTTGCATTGCTGAAAAATATTAAGTAAAATGATGAATGTCTCAGTGATTCAAAAGTCATAGTTTGTGTCCTAATAACATTAATCCTAAAATTTACCATAAATTAGTGCTGGCACAATGTGTAGAATCACCCGAATAATATTTTAAAAATGCTGACAATGAGTATGCTCTCTCTTGTAATGCTCACTAGAAATCTAATAAGATTCCAGTATGTATGAACATCTCTCTATCTACACTTAGTCCCTTTTATTTTTATAAGCTCTGAAATATCCCAGGTTTTTGAGCTCTTCCTTTTTCAAAAGGTTGCCTCAAAAAGCACTAAAAGTGTTTGACAAAATCTCTGCAGAGGGGGAAGAAGTTGAGAAATGGGTGTTAAACTGAGAGAAAAAATTAAAATCCACAGGAGGGTCCACGCTTCCAAAAACCCTGCCTGCTGAGAGCTTTCCTCATGTGTAAGTAAAGATGTTTTTGCTGTGACAGAGATTAACAAAACAAATAATCCTCCTTTATAGTTTGTAAAAAAATAATTTCCACTCCCTACATCTAAGGGAGAGGAAACAAGTAAAGCTCCCTGAGAGGTATTCTTAATTATCAGAAACATTTTCAAAACATTGGGTCTTGGCAAATCTATAAAGTATACATCAATGAAATCTATTCCTCTGTGGCCTAGTAAAAGAGGGCTGATTTGAGCTAAGAGTGGTTTTGGTCTTGGTCAAAACATCTTGACACCAATGTTTTGCTTTTCAATTAGATTGACTGTACAGGTTTACCTCCATCAGAAGATTATGTTTGTCTTCCAAATTATTCAAGTGGAATGCTCAATTAAGGTGATCTTCAAAATGAAGTTATAAATGACAAAGTATGAGCACACACGTTGATGGTGTCTTTATTTCTGTTCCAGGCAGAGTATGAAATTGCTCCAGATGAAAAACTGGGAGAGAAAGGGAAGGAAATCATGATGAAATACCTCACCCCTGAGGTAAGAGACTGCCAAAATGATATCACAGAAGAAATGCTGGGTACTCCTCTGGTACGCAGTGGTAATATCCTCTAGGGAACAAAACTTAATCTGTTAAGTACACAGCAAGGTATAAATGGATTCACATTTCAGTCTGAAAATTCACTTTGACAAATTATGAAGTTTTTAGGAGCCTTATGTATCCATTGATGCCTAATAGCATTTCTCTGGTCTCTCCCCTTCATGTAGAACAGGGGTGAGTAATCATTTTTGCTGGGGGGGCCACTTCATGAATTTTGGTAAATCGTCAGGGGCCATCTCTGAGCCTCTAGAACAGGTGGGGCTCAGGCGGAAGGAGCAGGGCCAGTGACGAGAGAGAGAGAGACAGAGAGAGAGACTCTGTGTGTGAGAGAAAGAGACGTTGGGAGAAATTGTGTGTGCATGTGGCAGAGAGACTGGGCAAATATGGGTATGGGTAGGTGACAGAACGTGTGTACTATCTACCACAGGATAAGTTTCTGAGAGATGCCATGCAGTGTCTCTTTAAGGCAGGGAAAGCTGACCTGCTCTGCTGTCTCCTTCTCTCCCCCGCACTGCAGAGATGGGATACATGGGGAGTGGGGGTGAAAGAGAGAGAGATGGCTGCTGGAGAAATCTTAGAAAAGTGGGGGTGAAAGAGAGAGAGATGGTTGCTGGAGAAATCTTAGAAACAGTGTATTGCCTCTTAAGACATGTACTCATCTCATTCATTCACCATACTTCGGAAAAGGAGCAGCTCTGTTGTGTGTGTCCATCTCCCTGGCCCCTGCTCCGCAGAGATGGGATACAGGGGCACGGGGACATAGGGTTGCCAGGTGTCCAGTCCAATATTTTCACCTCCTGTCCAGTAAAAAAATTCAGAGAATACCGGACACCTGAGATGTTTGCTCAACAACTTTGGTCTCTCTCCCCCTTTTTTTTTTTGCCTTTTTTTTTTTTTTTTGGGGGGGGGGGGGGTTCGTTATTTTTGTTTCAATCATGTGGCAACCCTTGACTTCAGTGTTCCCCCTCTGTCCCTCCACTCCAATATAGCTAGTAAGAGGGTCTTGCAAGCAACTTGGCTGCAGGATGGAACAAGGTCGGGGGGTAGCGGGGAGGGAGGGAGGGAGGAGGAGCAGACTCTGCTAATTAGCTGAGCGGATACAATAGAAATGCTGGGCAGGCCAGATTCATCCCATGTGCTCTATTTTGCCTACCTCTGATGTAGAAGACACACATATGCAGTATGAAATCTTCACATAGTGGCCAACCTTAAAAAGCCAGCATGTGCCAACAGATTTCATAGTTATTTCCTATCCTAAGCAAAGGGGAAAACAGTGGCATCCCAGACAGGATTATGTAGTAAGTGTTAGTGACTGGTGGCTTTTTAGTGGCAGTTGCTGTATATAGATTAGTGAATTAGACTCCTTAATGTTGTATCTGTAACCTTGTAAATGCTTGATGGAGCTGAGTGTCTCATACGACATGGAACGCTCAGCTGCTTTCTTGAGGATAGGTTTGGACTCAGAAATCCTGTTCTTTTCTCCCTATCAAGTCCTTGCTGTTAAATCTTCAGTATTCATGGAGGAAAGCTCATGTGAATATTGTGTCCACTGGGTGGCATTATGAACTGGACCACGAGGCTGCTGTAAGAATTTTGGGCAGGCTGCAGCTGGGACTAGTTCTTTTTTCTTTTTTCTTTTTGTTTCTTTTGTTCATTTGCTGACCACATTTAACCTTCTGCAGAAGTCTATACCAGAAAGCAACAAATGCTGAGCTTCAAATACATGAATTATCATTGGTTTTAAGCTGCTTAAAGCTTCCTAGGAGTAACTGACTCCCACAACTACTGCTGAGATGTTTTTACAAGAGGAATTTGTTTAACCCTCAGATGGAGCCTTTGGCTATTATCTTTGAAAAGTCGTGGCGATCAGGAGAAATCCCGGATGACTGGCAAAAGGCAAATGTAGTGCCCATCTTCAAAAAAGGGAAGAAGGATGATCCAGGGAACTATAGGCCGGTCAGTCTTACCTCGGTTCCTGGAAAAATCATGAAAGGGATCCTTAAGGAATCCATATTGAGGCACTTGGATGAGAGGAAAGTGATTAGGAATAGTCAGCATGGATTCACAAAGGGCAAGTCGTGCCTGACCAATCTGATTAGCTTCTATGATGAGGTAACTGGCTCGGTGGACATGGGGAAGTCAGTGGATGTTATATACCTTGACTTTAGCAAGGCTTTTGATACGGTCTCCCACAATATTCTTGCCAGCAAGTTAAGGGATTGTGGATTGGATAAATGGACGGTAAGATGGATAGAAAGATGGCTAGAACGCCGGGCCCAGTGGGTAGTGATCAATGGCTCAATGTCAGGATGGCGGTTGGTTTCTAGCGGAGTGCCCCAAGGTTCAGTTCTAGGACCATATTGATTCAGTTCTGCAGCAGTCCATGCAGGGGACCATGGTGCGATGGCCAGGTATAGGCACCTGGGAAGACATCCTGAGACCATTGCACACTGAGACAGCACAAAGGTGACTGTGGATTTAAGTTCTCAAGTAGCAGGAAATGGGATTTAAATATTGCAGAGCTTGCAAAGGTGGGTCCTCTATCCCTGTGCCTCACATTTCTGTCCCCAAACTGAGTATATTTACTACCCTTTTTTCATCCCCTTAGTCTATATCTAATATGGGCACACTGATATATCTTTATATATTCATACAGCTCACCTGAGGTCAGTAGATCTTTCTAGATATTTCTACTAACATACTGAATGTTTATATTATGGGTATTAGGTTTCAGAATCAATAACTCATGGAGTTTTACTTGAGTATGTCAATACCATCTCAGGACTATAGTTTTAGGCCATCTATGGAGTAAACAAAATAGAGATGCATTCATTTCAATTTATTTCACATTCAAGAAGTTTTTTTCAACCGTAACTGTTAGAAACTTAGAGACAGTCCCTCAGTGCAGGCCATCTGCCTTGTACTGAAGCATTAGTGGAATCCTCGAGTGGCATTGTTCAGTGGCCTAAAATGACTGAAGGCATCTCTTGTCCTGCTATCAGTGTAACATGGAATGGCCAGGATATTGTCCAGGTTGGATATTAGGAAAAACTATTTCACTAGGAGGGTGGTGAAGCACTGGAATGGGTTACCTAGGGAAGTAGTGGAGTCTCCATCCCTAGAGGTGTTTAAGTCTCGGCTTGACAAAGCCCTGGCCGGGTTGATTTAGTTGGAATTGGTCCTGCCTAGAGCAGGGGGCTGGACTTGATGAACTTCTGAGGTCTCTTCCAGTTCTATGATTCTATGATTCTATGATAACGTATTACATTTTGTAGTAAATGCTTTTTAAAACATTTAAATGATGCAGTAAGTTTTGAAGGTGGAGAGGCAGGACAGGTCACCTTTTCTCCTGTCAGTGATTTTCCTACGATAACGTTTGTGTACTTAAGATCTCTCAGGCTAGGTCTATACTAGACCCAGAATATCGACTTAAGATACATGACTCCAGCTACATAAATAACTTGGGTGGAGTCAACATACCTTAAGCTGAGTTTGATTCTGTCTTCACAGTGGGAGGTTGATGGAAGCAAACACTCCCGTCAGCTTTCCTTACCGCTCACGACTGTGAGGAGTACTGGCGCCAACCTGGGGCACCCTCAGAATTCGATTTAGCATGTCTTTACTAGACCCACTATATTGAATGCCAGAAGATCAATCTCCGCCACAGCAAGTGGAGACGTGGCTTCGAGGAGTTGTTTGCAACCTAGTTTCATTTACTGAGCCGGATTAGTCTTATGAATATAAGAAAGAGATGTTGCCGGTATGAAATGCTGCTACCCATTCATTATGGACCCTAAGTTTTATTTTCCCAAGGTGGTAGTTTAGGTTAAAGGTTCTGTTGCAGAGTGATGAGGGTTGTATATTTAAAGGCCATCATGTGCCTCTTGCTTGAGAATCACCTGTTTTGTTTTTCTCTGCAATGGAGAAGTGAGCGTTGGGAATGTGACATTTTAGCATTTAATCAAAGCCAGAGAAGGCCCATGCTCACTGGCTTGAGTTAAGCACAACTAGGAACTGTGCAGTTTCCCAACCCATCTCTGACAATCCACCTCTCTGCTGAACAACAGCACCACTGCCGTCTCTAAGGTGTGTTTCCATTGCAATCCACTGCAGTTATGACTGCAGCACTTGTAGACATGCTCCAGCTAGATTTGATCTAGTTCGAATTACAATAGCAGTGAAGCTGCAGCAACATTGGCTGGCTGTTTGAATGTACATCCAGGGTCCTTAGCAGATGTGTGCGATCCACATTACTGCCTCTTCTGCTCTGGCTTCACTGCTATTGTCATTTGAGATACCTCTGAGGGTATGTCTAGACTACATCCCTCTGTTGCCAGAGTCAGCGGTTTGTCGGCAAAAAGCGGCTGTCAAGACGGGGGTCAGGCGACAAAGAAAGCCTTTGTCGGCTGATCCCTTATGCCCTGTAAAACGAGGTTTACAGGATCAGCCGACAAATGCTTTCTTTGTCGCCCGATTCCCGTCTTGACAGCCGCTTTTTGCTGACTGATGACTTGGCAAAACGCGGTGGCCATTTTTATTCAAATGACGCGCGGGAGATTTAAATCCCCGCTTCATTTGCAATGTTGGTACATCTAATTTACATCCCTCTGTCACGAGAGGGATGTAGTCTAGACATACCCTGACTGAGCTCACTGTGATCGGGCTATGTCCTCACCTCTGACTGTCATGTAGACATACCCACCTGATCATGTTGTGAGGTGACTTCATTCCTTTAAGACTGTTAGATAGAAGGGATTATAGAAATGCAAAGTAATATTATATCCTTGGTAACTTAATTCTAGGACCCCAGAGGTGGGAGATTATTACCTTCCCTAGCCTCAGCTGTTCACTTTGTTATTACTAGAAGAAATTTACTGTGATATTTTGTTTCTTTCTGGTGATAACATCAACGGAACTCGATATAGAAGAGAAAATATTT